TGCTAAGAAAGCATTGTATGCTTGTAAGTAAGCAGCCAGGGGACCAATGACTTTAAGTCCTCTCCGGGTCTTGATAATTAGGATTAATGCCCTATCAAAGGGCACTAGCGCATTAACTTAGTTTTGAACCTGGAACCTTCTGGTTACGGACCAATGCTCTACCACTGAACCAATGCGCCTCCTTAAAAACTAACTTATTCATGGTGTTTACATATACGCTGACCCCTTTTCTTATTTGTCCTATCCATGAACATCGCTGACACCTGTGAAACAAAGTACGTGATGGATTTATAGGCCAAGATTTACTTTGCAAGGTGGTATATAATTAAGAAGGTATAGGACATATAATACAAATTCATGTTAACAAGTAATATTCAATTCACTGTGAATTATGGAAAAATGAATCAAAATCTGAAAAGTATTGATTTGCTTTTCTAACTCTGAGATTTTCTATGACGTTTGATATTATGAAAAACAGCAGTCCAGTAGTTTGTATGATGACAGACCTGAGTGTTTTTGGAAGAAGGATCAACAAATTCAGGCAATAATTATATTCATTACCAGTGTGCTCACCCCTTGAGACTTTACCTTGATCAAGCCACAACAGAAAAACCAGTTCATGCATTTGTTATGAGTCGTTTGACAATTGTAACAGTTTGTTGTTTGGTTTGCCAGGGTCTCTCATAAGGCATGTCTTCATCAGCTCAAGATTGCCAAATATACCGCTATTTCAACTATCCTGATCGCAAATTATCCAATTAGTTTGCGTCTTCATCAGCCCGAGGTTGCAATTGGTGGGATATTTGGTTATAATTGGTGGGATATTTGGTCGGGATAATCATCCCAAGATATCTTGGGATAGTTTGCAACATATCCCGCTATTTGTCCGGTCCGGACTCGCACTTTGCGCGAAAGCTGAGCAAAATATCTCGAGCTAATTTCTCATGGTTGAGTTTCAAGTTTCGAGGTCGAATCTCAAGCTGATGAAGACGCTATTTGGCGATCTCGAGCTGATCAAGACACACCTATAGACAAGGTCCAAAGTGTAGAAAATTCTGCAGCTAGACTTGTCTCACAAAAACGTAAACAAGATCACATAACTCCTGTGTTGTATGATTTACATCGACTACCTGAAAGTACCTGCAACTATTGCATACAATGTAAACACAATGATGCTCCCAAATATTTGCCAAATAGTATTTCAAGTCATCGACCAACTCCCAATCTTTTTTCATCTTCAAAACATTAATTCGTGCCCTTAGTTACATATACCAAAACATATGGGCACCGTGCTTTCCAGTATGTCATACCAGAACTATGGAACAATCTCCCAGAGTCTCTAAAATGTCGTCCTTCACTACATCAGTTTAAATCCGACTTAAAAACTTATCTGTTTGATCATGCCAGTCTTAAATCATAAAGTAAACATGTGAATTTTGTAATTGATTAGGTAATTGTACAATGTAGAAAAGGTGATAAACGATGAAAGCTCAATATTTTTCATGGCCTTCCTCTTCTCTCTCTCTCTCTCTCTCTCTTGTTAAAGTGCATAGAAACAATTTTGTAATATACACTCTATGAGAATTGAACATTGTTATTATAATTGTTATTTAGAAGTAATGATAATAACAATTATTTAGAAGTAATAGATGTGAAGTATTCTTATCTCTTGTACCCCAAGAAAGTGTGCCCCTAATTGGAAAATTAGTTTGGATGCCAGACATGCTTGTTACGACCCTGCATACAAGAGGTACAGAAGCTGAGTGATATCAGGGGCCAGATGGACATTTCTATCTCAATTGAATTATCTCCATGTGCCATTCATTTAGTCGCACCTTACATCCCTACATTGTTTTTGCCCACATCTTGGAGCAAATTGGCAAGACAATCCTCGTCAGAAAATGGTTGAAAATTATCCCTCAACAAGATTGTGCAGCAAAATTAAACAGTACCTACATTCGCACAGTGACTTGTTTTTATTTCATTCAGTTCCAGGGGAGTCTTTTTGGAGATCTACTGTATTGTACATCAACTTCTCACTTTCTCTGCCCCCCACAGCTCTTCAGGGCCCCCCGTCTTAAAAAGAGTTGCAATTGATCAGAATCAATCACAAGTCTTCCAATCAATTGCAAGTTTGTAGTCCCCTATCTCTCATGTACATATTTGCGATTGATATCAATTGCAAATAAGTTGCGATTAATCGCAACTGATTATGATACGGGCCCCGTTTTGCTCTGTTGTAATTCCCTCACAGCATTCAATTCAAGCTGAATATCATCATAGACATGCTTGCAAGTGCTGCCCAGTGAAAACACATTATTTTACATTTAGCCTGTGCTCCTATTTCGAGATAACACCTGATACTGCGATGATATTGATTATTCATTCATGTGTTTATAATTTGTTAATTTTATTGATCATATGTATTTTGTGTATCTCGCACCTGTCGTACATAAACTTGCATTTTGTCAAAGTGGGCAAAAACCTTGCCCTTTCTTCTTGCCTTTATGTGTCCCAGTTTAATAACGAAACAAGCATTAATACATCTGTTAAGAGCCAGAAGGACATCAAATGTAGAAGTGTTGTGGACGAGTGGATACATCACCGGACTGCCAATCACAAGGTCCGTGGTTCAAGTCCCGCCCCGGCACTAATATCCTTTGGCAAGACATTGATCTACATTTGCCACACTCAACCCAGGTGATTTAAATGGGTACCTGGCAGGAATTAATTCCTTGAATTGCTAGAGGGCCGTAATGGCAACCGTGCTAAAGCCAGGGTAATAATCAGGAGCGCCTTCGGTGTCAAGTCGGACAGATACAAGCGCTATACAAGAACCCAATATTATTAACATTATTATTAACTCATATACACAGACTTAACGTCTTCCTGGTTCCAAACAGACATTTCATACTTTGTAGAGATGTTCATGAAGAAAAAACTAATTTCTGATTGATTGACTGGCTTTAATATAATGTTTATGATTACAACAGTTAAACTCATGTCTACTTGCAAATTGCCATTGATTTGTAGCCCTCAGATAACTGAAAAAGTCAAATCAAACTTGGGGTTATCATATGTAAAAAAATATCTACCGGTAAGTTATGTCCCTGGTAACAGGGAGTGTCATTTTCTAGTCGGATATGCAAGAGAAATGCATAGGTTATAGCCATTCAAGCTCTAGATGAATGTATCGTTGCACACTAGAAATATAATTATGCTTGATATTTGACTTGTACCAATTATAATAAATAATAATAATATGAACAATTTATATAGTGCTTGTGACATAAAAGTTTCAAAGCACTTTACACAAATCAAGACTACTTCAAGAAAAATCAATATTACTGATGGAATTAACATTACTATATTACATTATATTCTGCTTTTACATTTCTCTCTGAGCTAGCAAATATCAAGCCTTTTGAAATAGTTTCTTTCAATCAGAGACATCTCATTAAGGAAGGCCCTTGTTCCATTTCGGAAAGTGTTATCCGTCTGAAGTAACGGAAAAGCGTGAACAAGATATCCACTCCTCGTAGCCCCATGTGTTTCCTCTACGAATTGCGCTGCTCTCCAGATAACCTAGATATATTTCCCCCCACTCAATGCTCTGTTATGTAGCCAACTTTTCTCAGTATTAACAGCTCGGAGTAGAAAATAGCATGGAAGAAATAGAGATTACTCATTTACATTCACTTTTCAGTGAGAGCTAGTCAAAGTCGGTATGGAATCAGGACGTTTCCATTACCGACTACCCTTCTCCAAGCTTTGTAGACCTAGTCTGCAAGTTCAGACACTTTGTCTGATTCTATTTCATTAGTAAAGGGAACACTTGACAAATAACTGCAGAACAAGACTAGAATTCGACTTAAATTTGGATCCTTTCGAATGGAAATGGCGCTATATTTTATATTAAAATTCAATTATTTAGTGAAATAAACATGATTTCAGAGAGAAAACAGAATCTATTCACCAACATGTACATGACTATAAGGTGGTGCTTGAGGAGTGGTGTGCGAACCCTTTGTGGAGTAATTGATTTTTTCTTCTCGAAGGTCACTTCTTAATAACACAAGCTGCGTTTGACCATGACAAAGTGGATAAATATTAATGAGTTTATACTACAATCATAAGATTGCTAGAAATAATGAAAAAACTGTATAAATACTGGTATGTTCAGATATGACATGCAATGGTTAAACAGCCCTCCAAACCACAGCATTAAAAAAAAAACGTGTATCGGTAGATGAATGACCACTGCATGTGACAAAGGTCCTATATATATTTACATGTATATGTATTCACTTGGCTCTGTGTTACATAATTGATACAGAAATTTATCTGAACGATGCTTTATATGTACAATATTCACTTTCAAATTAATCAATTGCATTGGCATAAGAAAGGGATTCATGGTAACTAACTTAATATTCCATTTGCCTATATAGAGCCTGAAAGATGTGGCTATGTCATCGCTCAGAACCAAAAGGGCATTATAGCTGGTATTTTTCAACACAATGATATAACAACCTTGTGGCTTTCAACGGACGATGTTGTATGTCAAGCCAATTGAATTAGCAAATATTTATAGTAATCTTATGATGGTAGTATAAATTCATAAATGATCAACCAATCTGTCAGTCACCTAACAACTACGGGCAAACAGGAAGAAAAATCAAAATTAAATAAAATACGCCTCTGGTGTGTGGTTTTTGGAGACGAGGGCAGAAATTTTACAAATTTTTGCAGTGTAAATGCCCTCTCTCGAAATATCAGTTAGTGATTCCATTTTTTGGTCATGTGATTCTCTTCGCTTCTGTGTGATTGCATGCAGAGCAGCGATAAGTCAGGCATGCGCACTTCTTAAATATCGGAATGAGCAAATACCAACATATTTTAGGTTTTTTTTGGCTGTGTAAATGGGCCTATGGTGCGTCTTTTGTATGCCCTCACACACTATTCACAAAATCATTACAAATCTCGTTTTCCCTCTGTTTCTTTATTTGCAGGAAACTGTAAAGAAAGCTGTTCTACAAATCACATCAAGTTTTTTTCCTACAAGTACAAGGTAAGACAATGCAAGAATAATTAAGATTTCAGATGTGCTAAATACTATCTAAATAAGTACCGGTACTTGAGCCTTCATTCTAAATGATACATGTTTGTTAATGTAAAGGTCATTAATTTGAAGAACATTCAAAATTTGTATCACCAGTACATCTCCAATGGATTGAGTTTTTGTTACATATTTTAATAATACCTTTTCTTTTTATGAACTTATAATATGATGCATTTGACTATACATGGACAGCAGTGCTTTTTAGCGACAGATTGCTAGATTTCAGTCAGTGTGCTTTTCAAATGCGCCGCACCAGGAAAGTGCATTCCGAATCTTCATACATTATTTAGCCATTTTCATCTCCCTTGCTCAGACACCTCTTTGGCATTCCTCTCCCATTTTCTTCCTTCTCCTCTTGTGCAACGGGTAAATTGATGTAGACAGTGCCCGACAAACACGCGGGGGCCCCGGCAAAAGATGAGTCGCCGCACAAAGTACATGCCTGCCATATTTAATATTGGAAATGCATCACCGGCATTCTCGGCTATTGGAAGGGGGAGAAAGGAAAGCGGATGAATGCCTGCGTGCGTGGTGCGGGGTGATGGGCTAACGGGGGCATACCTCGCGGTACCATAAGGGCTGCCAATTACTAGCTGATGGGGAGCGAGCGAGCCAGCGCTGGGAAACCAGGAATTCATATCATCATTGACGGTTTCCATAAGGCCTGCCTGAGAATGCTGTTTTCATGGGAAGGTTTTCTGTACGAATGATCGAATGCTTATTATGAGCGTTTTCATTTAAACAAAAGAAAAATGAAAAATGGAATGAGTAGTTTACTATACCTGTAATTGTCTTTATGATTCTATTCAAAATGAGGAATCTCTGGGTCGCATTTCATCTCACTTCATTTTGGTAATTTTTTTTTATTTTTTATCTTTTAGCAATTTTGGTAATTTAGCAATACAAACTGCTTTGAAATCTTGATTGTAATCAAATAGAAAAGAGTTGTACCGGTAAGTAAAAAAAAGGAAAACAAAACAAAAGAACAAACAGACTCATGTAAATTTCCCATACTGTCAGTTTGTGTTACCCTCAGGCTACAGCTATATACAGAATGTTTTCTTCTTGATAAAAAATCCAATTTCCTGCAGGATTTATCCTCTTTAAGAAAACATTTACATTTTTGTAGGGGAAAAAAACACCTACTTGTATATGAAAGGGATCTCTGTTTCCATTAACCAGATCCAGTGGTTTTCCAAATTTATGGCAGTGATAAGCCCTGCCTGTGAAAATTAAAGTTTAATTATGCATTTCAATTACTCTTCATAAAATTTGCCAGATGTGTATAGCTCCACTCTTCCCCGAGTTCAAATCTCGACCTTTTTAGTTGTTGGCATGCATTAATATACTCCAAGCACTGTAAGCTGCATATTGAGCATAACTAGAGCACAAAGTATGTTATGAAGAGAAAGAGAGAGTGAGAGAAACAGAGAGAGAGAGAGAGAGAGAGAGAGAGAGAGGGAGAGAAAGGGAGGGAGAGAGATAGAAAGAGAGGGAGGGGAGAGATAGAGATTTAGATAGAGAGACAGAGAGATAGAGATAGAGAAAGAGAGAGATAGAGAGAGAGAGAGAGAGAGAGAGAGAGAGAGAGTTTAGATAGAGATAAGAGAGAGAGAGGGAAAGAGAAAGGACAAACGTACCATATGGTCTTAATCTATAATCAGAAATTATTATTTACGTGCAGGAATTATATTGTGCTTACTTTCAATAGTAATTAAATTTGCTGCAGTGAACAAAATTCATGAAATATAGATTTGCTTTATATCTATTGGCTAAGCCATGTACAGATGGAACTACAGAACCACAAACATCATGGGGACCGCACCCGTTGGCTATTCTAACTCTGATGAATATTTGAATACATTGATTATTTACTCTCCAGTGTTGCTACGGCACAGGAGAGGCAAAAAGATCATGGGAAAAGTACAAACAGAGTTCAAGTTAACTTCTGTATTCACTTGCTTATTATGTATTACAGCACTCATGAGGATATGATTCTACATGCATCGATTACCCTGAAACATTCATTACATTATGTTCAAGATATTTCAAAGTCTTGCAGTTGTGTACTTGTAAGTCTACTGATCTGACACATGTTCTGGCAGTATTTGCTCTCGGTTCGGGTAAGGTGGGGTTTACGGTTAGGTAAGCGATTTGATTTGTGTTAAGTGCAGGTCAGTGTTAAAATCATTAAACTCAGTGTTAGGTCCAGTGTTAGGTCCAGTGTTTATATTTGGTTAGTGTTAGAATCATTCTTAAAGGCCCGGTCACACAGAGGGGACGCATGGGGGACGCACGGCCGGCGCATGGAAAATTTGCAATTTTGGCCAGTGCGTTGTCGTGCGCCCAACTTTTGTCGAAGCTATACAGCTAGCTGACACCAAATGCTTAGCGCGCTGGACGCATACAGGGCGTATACAGGGCGCACACAGGGCGCACACAGGGCGCACACAGGGCGCACACAGAGCGCACATGAAAACAACTTCCACGAATGCACAGCGTGTTGCTAGCGCGCTGGACGAATGGTCCACGCATGCACCGCGTTCTACGACGCACGGCCAGCGCATTGGAAATCGGAAAAGAACGTGTGCCTAACTTTTGTCATAATTTTGGAAAAGCTAGCGAGCTGACACAAAATGCACGGCGTGTAGCTAGCGCGCTGTGCGTATACAGGGCGTGTGCTCCGCGTTTGTCTGGCGCTGGTCTAGCGCGCTCCACGCATGTCTGGCGCTGGTCTAGCGCGCTCCGGCGCATGTCTGGCGTGCCTTTGGCGTGTATATTCATGCGTCGAGCTCGGCGCACGTTTTTGAGCATGCTCAAAAAATCCTGACGCACACAGCGAATGACGACGCATGCATAGCGCTGGTCAGGCGCGCTCGACGAACGAGTAACGAATGATGACGCACGCCTAGCGAACGACAACGCACTGGCCCAAATTGCAAATTTCCAATGCGCTGGCCGTGCGTTCCCCATGCGTCCTCCCTGTGTGACCGGGCCTTTACAGTTATAGGTCCAGTGTATACCCAATTCATATTTGCTTGCTTCAATTAAGCTTTGTGTGCTTTAATGTACTACTTTAGTTCTCAAATTCACCTATAGAGACAGTAAACTGAGAGATAGAAGGGCTTTAGTTCAATGTCAAATTATATGTAGTCCCAAACAGACGTTTTTGTGATGGTGTATCTATTGAATGTTATCTTCATAAGATGTTAATGTAGGGGACATGCAAGTGTGCAGACACACATCCTTAAAGACTGTGGCATGTTGAGGTCTTAATTGTCCTAGGCAATAGGCAACATTTTATGAGTTTGTACATGCAAACCAGAGGCAGCTCCAGGAGTCTGTCAGCAATTGGGGACAAAGGTTGGGAAGAGTAACATATAGATAGCAACTATCTTGTACTTCAATTCTCTGGACGTTTTCTCATCTTGGAATGGCTTATAAATGCAAAAGAATTGTTTTAACATCCTTATCCTGGTATAGACTTGCTTAAAGTCACCATGAATTTTAATACTTAAAGATATCAGAAAAATGACAACAATCCTCATCTTCAGTTGTTTCTATGAAAATCCTATCACTTACCATCCTTTTGGCAGACCTTGAAATGTGCCAAAGTAATTTCCAAGAATTAAAGGAAATGAAGATAACTTGCAAGTATTTTAGTAACAAGAAAGTTCATCGTGATCTATTATTTTTTCAGGCGTTGAGAAGATTCTGAAGATTTTTTCTCTCGTTGGCACTTTTTAGGTCAGACCCTGTGCTGCACCAGTCTTCATCCTATGGTTCACTCCATTTAGTGATGGCCTATCCCAGTATTTTTGTCTTCTTGTTCTTTTTTTTTAGGGGGGGGGATGGGGCTGGTTTTTGAATGACAGTGATGGATTAGGCCAGCATATCTGACTACCGACTACCATTGTATGGTTGACGCCATGTGTTGATGTCCTGTCACAGTAGGTTGGGGGCAGACGTGATGGGCCAGGCCAGCTTTGTGCTTCCCTCGACCACTGTCCTGTGGATGACTCTCTGTCCTGATGGTGTCTTTTTGGGGGGAGGAAGAGAGATAGAAATAAAGAAAGAGAGAGAGAGAGAGAGAGAGAGAGAGAGGAGGGAGAGGGGGAGGGGGGGGGGGGAGGGGGAGGAAGGGCATAGGAAAGGGCATAGGGAAGGGAGATGAGGTAACGTTTGCAATGATTAAACCTCCTGTGCTGCTCCAACCACCATTCTACTGTTCACTCCTTATGAAGGCCTGTCACTGTAGGTTAAGGGAGAAGAGAGAGAAAGAGAGAGAGAGAGAGAGAGGGGGGGGGGGAGTTGGTTGAAGGGGGGGGGGATATGAGTTGGTGTGATGGGCCAGTGCTTCTCCCAACCACTAATCCTGAAGATGACTTCCTGTACTGATGTTGGCCTTTTTCAGGGGTGGGGGGGGGGGGGGGGGTTGGTGGGGTTCGAGGGATGGGGTTAAGTTTGCAATGATTGGTTCATGTAGACCCTGTGCTTCTCCGACCGTCATCCTACGGTTGACTCCTCGTCCTGATGGCCTGTCACAGTAGGTGTGAAGTAGCCTTCTCACCTCACTGCTTAGATTAATGGCTTTATGATAGGTCCCCTAATAATCTAGAAGTCATTATCTCCTGATACTGAGGGTCACTTTACGGGCACTCGTTAAATGCATCTTCAGGGCTGAATCAAAAACGCTTCACAGTTGTTTTTTGTGTGTGGATAAAGAAGATACGCAGAGGTGTGTTGCTTTTTCTTGTAATGGCTTCATCAGCAAACATCTGCCTGGTATTGACCTGAAAGAAATGGCCATAAGTACAGTATGTAGGCACTATTTTGGTATAACCCATAATTATTATACTTCTGTTGAGTGGCAGAAAGCATCCACTCATTATTTATGCCCTTTCGGCTCTCAGTACATAATATTTCTTATCGTAAAGGATGGGGTGTGT